TGACCTGGGGGCTCTGCGCTCCTGCCCCGCTCCTCGCTGCGCCCAGCAAACCCGGGCGTAACCTGCCCGCGAGCGCTGGGGCTGTGTGTGAGGGATAAAGGGCACCGGTGCCCGGAGCGCTCTGCTCCTCTAGCATTTAGTGCCAAGCTGTGCTAAAGCATTTCATTTTTCTTTCGGTAATACCACCGAAAAATGCGTAGCTTCTGTCGTTTTCAGCACGCGTGGCTGTGCACAGGAGCAAAACTATTCCGGTTGTTTCAGGGCTCTGTAAGTAAATCTGTCTGAAGGGAGTTTCGTGCTACCAAGTTGAGCTGTCAGGCTGCGTGGGCATCTTCAGGCAAGGCTAATTTGGGTTTGGTACCAGCCATGCCCACTATGAAGCTTCAGCTTCCCTGGAATCTCATAGAATGTCCTACAGAAAAATGCTTTCTTAATGGGGGAACTCCCAAAGTTTCAAGAGGTTTTTGTAGGGTTATTTTTGGTTGGTTTTGGCTTTTTGTTTGTTTTTGTTGTTTTTGTTGTTTTGAGTCTTTTTTTTAATTGCTGCCTACACTCATTTTACATGTCTCAAAACACCCCATTTCTATGACCCTTAAGAGGAAATTACCCAAAGTGTTAATGTATCCAAATTCTACCCAACAGAGATGTTAGGTTTGCTGTCTTGATCTCAGAAGGAAAAAAAAGTTCTCTGGGAGCTGCCAGTGCCTTTTTGTATATTTGAAAGTACAGATATATGAACTATGACATTACATAAGGCTATTTCTGTAATTCATATATCATAAGTGAGGCAGAAAATTATTCTGATCCTTTGGGTCATAAACCACTTCAATTTTCTCAGTGGTCAAAGGGATTGTGTATTGCCTCTTTCTTTGGCTCATATTTGAAGCCCACCAAATACAATTGTTTCAGGTTGTCATTATATTTCTTGTTTTCTGTGAAACACAGGAGTCCATGGCTCATCATAATATTTTCCTAGTAAATATAGTTCACAAATGAAATTTTGGGCCTGCTGAGGTCTGTGAGAATTTTGTTGTATATTTCAACAGAACCAGGTTTTCATCCAGTTCTTTTAAACGAGTTGCTTTGTGCTAAAAATTTCAGTAATAACTTCCTGATTCTGACTGGGAACTCATAGAAAAATTCTGTCTATGAACTGACATGTGGAGATCCTTAATTTATAGCAGCAAATGTGTAAATGAAAAAATTACAGCTTAATTGTATGAACTAATAAACCTGAAAACATTTACACTTCTCTATCAATGGTTATTAGTATTAATCCACAAAATTCTTAATCTGTTTTAGATGATGAGATCCCAGGCTCTTAACTAAGCCATCTATGAGGTGATATGAATGTTAGTGTCCAATTCTGCTCCTGTTTGAAGTCAGCAATAAAACTTCTTTTGGCTTTAAGACTAAGAGCTTACAGGTGATGAAAAGTGGAACTCAGAAGTGAAATATGGAAAGAATATTTTTTTATTATTGCGTTACTTTTGAAAAATAAATATTAATTATCATATCTCTCTGGATCTGAGCAAAATAAGTGGGAATTGACCATTTTGGTTATGGTCATCTGTTTGTTCAAAGGATTCTCAAATGAATTCTCAAAAGGATTTCTGTTTATGCCAGTGTAATAGGCATTATAGTATCAAGTCATGGAAATTTTGCTGAAATTTGTTATATAAGTTACTACAGCCTGACTCCTCACAGCTCTTACCCAAGCTCCAAAGCTATTACTTCTGCAGAATTATGACTGTGATGAGGAGAAAACCCATTTACTTCAGGAGAGATTTCTCTTCAGGAAAACTTTGGGTATGGTAACACTGATTTAGCTGCTTGTCCTCTTCTGTGTTCTATTTTTTTTTTCAGTAATAAAAACCCTGTTAAGGAAACATTTGCAAAGATGCATGAACCACTTTACTTCCTGATGTTAGCATAGGTGTCATCTTCCCTCATTGCCCTGAGACCAGAGGTGGTGCAGGGTGCCTGCACTGCTTTCTTCCTGAGGCATACCACCTTGTTTTCCTTTGTATTTTGCATTAAAAAAAGATCTTATTTTTAAAATAAATGTTTAATGAGTTACTATTAAAAAAGGGTCCTGCTTGAGCTGCTATGGGGATCTTGAAGTTCACACAGCCTCTTCCATGTTTAACCTGTATTTATGCCTAAATGATTGGCTTACTTTTACTTTTAAATCTATGTCTTGGAAGTGACCATAACAAATGCTTTTGCGGAGTGGCTGATTTTCATTTGAATCACAATTTCTTTTATGAGCATGTACTGTAGCTTTCACCTTTAAGGCTGGAAAGCAACTCAGTGAAAAATTACTTTTCCCTCCAGTTTAGGATTACTTGCATTTCCTTGGGGTTAAAGATGCATGACTCTGGGATACAGATCTTACAGTAACGAACATTGCCATCAAATTTTTCCCAAATTCCCATCCCAAAGTACACCTCATTTTCACATGACTAGACCTTACTGGGTTTATGGGGGAAAAAATGGTGAAGCAATGTGAAATTAAAAATAAAAGTAGTCCAGGAATATGCGTGTTGGTGGAACCTCAGCTAAGTTGTGGGACACTAAACAAACACCTGAAGTTTTCTGGCACTTCTTATAAACTTGCAATTTATTTTCAATTGCATGCATTTCCTTTTTTTTTTTTTTTTTTCTTTTAAGGCTCTGGCACCATGTTGTGTAAATAAAGTGCATGTTAAAATACTGTCTAAATACAGCATGGGTATACAGTCATCAGAGAAATAGGAAGAGTTTTGGAAGGAATCATTCTGGTCTCTTGAGGATATAAGCAGGGGTTTATAACTCTTTTAAATATATTTTTAAGACAAAATAAAAAAGAAATGTGTTTAAATAACATTCAGGTTGTAGTAGAAATGAGGAAAAAAAAGAAAATGTGAAATCCAGACTGATACTTGAAATTATGTTGCATTAATCTTTAACACGAATTACCATCTTTTTTTTTAAAAAAAATAAATCTATGTCAGAGCCTTAAGGTTATTAAAATTGCATGTTCCATACCATATTTTATTTAGATATGAAGAGCAGTTCTTCCCAGTAGTCTGTTAGAATCAGCAGTAGTATAATTCTTACATCTCTTGCTTGAAGCCTGAAGCTTCTGCCAAACACAGGGCATGCTGGTACATAAATGAATAAAATGAGTGCATATATTTATCATGTATTATGATCTCTAGGTGCTCTAAGAATCTGAAGACAAACACTTAAAATATTAGGTACACAAACAATGCCCTGAATATAATGGAACCCCCTTATGATACTTTTCCACTTCAGGAATTCCTTTCCCAATCCATTTGATGAGAAATGCAATTTGAACAGGGACAGGAAAGACCTAGTAACTGAGAAATTAGCAGGTATCTTTTAAAGCAAATGGTACTTACCCCGAGCCTCTGCTGAGTCTCTAGGTGGTCCTCACAGCATTGGCATTTGGCTGCTTTCCTGCCTAGTTGTGTGGTCTCAGGCAGAGCAGATAAAGCCATCCAGGACCCTTGGTTTCACCTGTTTCTTGGGTAGTGACAAGCAGGACTCTTCAGCTCAAACACCAGTTTGATCCATACTGATAAAACGAGTCAAATAAGGGGTATGACCACAGCACTTCAAGCAGGTAGGAGACGCTGACTTCCTCAGGTGTTTTTTTTTCCACAGTTCTTCCCCTTTTTAATGTCTCTGCCTAGCCACAGTTTTAGTGGTTTACAGTTTTTTTGCAAGGAGTTGTTAATTTCTGGTAGCTTCTTCCAAGCTCCCATGGGGAGGGTCCCTCAGAGACTTATTCCCTCATCTGTCTGTCTTGCTACTACCTTCCTGGCTTTCAGAACAACTCTGAGACCACGTTACCTCTGGAACAGGGAGGTGTGACAGCTGATGAGTTTCTTCTGGGCTGGTTGGTATCTTGAGCGTACTGAACAACCTAAAGAACGCAGAGCTTTGGGAAGCAGCCGAAATGGAAGAATAAGGGAGGCAAGAAAGGCTGTTCCTTTGCTCTTAATTAGGTTTGGAGTAGGCATGCAGTTTTGAAGGACCTGATCATCTCCACTTAACTGCACTTCCTGAAGTGGGTTTTTTTTGTGTGAACAAATGGTATGATATTTAATGTTACATACAAAACTCTGCTGTCTTCATATGTCCTTTCAATGTCATTCTGTGTATAATGAATAAAATTCAGAGATCTGAAAATAACACTGTGATTGCATATGTATTGCTTCTGTCAAGGATTCAGATTAATGTGTGAGAAGGTGTAGTTTGAAGTTATAGATGCAACTCTTAACCTATACCTGAATATTCTTGTATGTTAGTTGCCTGACTTGTAGTGCCTCTCTTAGCTTAAGCATCGTTATACTCAGATGCATTTGTCCCATTTAGAGGTGCAGTGTGACAGAGGTTGGGATGCTGTAATTCAGACAACAGGTGGATATAGTGTGTACATTATGTACTGGATGTATATTATGCGAGAAGCTGTACAAAAATTCCAAGTCTGCCTAAGGAACACATAGCTAGACTAGATCTCCTGAGTCAAAGACTTTGGTCCTCTGGTATTGTAGATAGCTGTACCATATAAATAAATTCTTGTGTAGTATAAAATTTGTTCTTCCACCATTGTAAGCCAGGAGCAATCTTCCTAATGTCAGTGAGCTATAAGAAGGGAATGAGAACTAGGGTAATGTACATGCAGAAAAGAGGTGGAAAAAGATAGAGGGTTCCCAGAATATAATTCTGTTTGGACTTACTTTAGCCTCTGACTTTCAATCCACCGTATTTGAAAGCTTGTATCACCTGGTAATTTGGAAACAACTCTCCAGCTAGAAAAGGCTGAATTCTTATCTTTTATAAGTGTGTATGTGTGCACACGTGTATTTTATGGAACTGAAAATTTACCTCATACCTGGCTTGTGTTGATATCTGAAATCCACAACTGTGCTTTATTTCCTCAACTTCCTCCATATAGGATGGTCCGTACACTGTGTGCTGTTGGTGCCTTGTTTCTTCTGATGGGATTTCTGCTAACAACAGCAGAAGGGAGGAAAAGGAATCGTGGCTCTCAAGGTGCTATCCCTCCTCCTGACAAAGATCAGCCCAATGATTCAGAGCAAATGCAGACGCAGCAGCAGTCCGGCTCTAGGCATCGAGAACGAGGAAAAGGCACCTCAATGCCTGCTGAAGAGGTGCTGGAGTCTAGTCAGGAGGCATTGCACATCACTGAGCGCAAATACTTAAAGAGGGATTGGTGTAAAACTCAACCCCTCAAACAAACTATCCATGAAGAAGGCTGCAACAGTCGTACCATTATCAACAGGTTCTGCTATGGCCAGTGCAATTCTTTCTACATCCCCAGGCATGTCCGTAAAGAAGAAGGCTCCTTCCAGTCTTGTTCCTTCTGCAAGCCCAAGAAATTCACTACCATGACTGTTACACTCAATTGCCCTGAGCTTCAGCCCCCGCGAAAG